TTTATTCATGGCATACGAACTTAGGCTGTTAGGTTTTGTTATTAAGTTCTAAGTTCTTGTCATGATCCATGCCCAATGACCTTGGTCATGGATCCTAAGCTCTTAATCTTGGTGCTTGCCCAAGGGTCTTAGTTTCACGGTTTTAGGTTCTTAGTTCTAATAATTTAGATCTAGATTCTTGTTCTAATTCTCATCCTTAGTACTTAGTTCTTAATTGATACCTAATCATATTCATATGTTAGAGGACTCAGGCTTATGTCATGCTACTTTAGGACATGGGTGTATGTTAAACTTTCTTCTCGTGCTTCCGGATCTTAACATATTGACTATTTGAAAATCAATAGCTACGAATAGCTAGGGGTATGCATTCAACCAGACAACCCGAACCAACCCAACCCAAACTATAAGAGTTGCGTTGGGTTCAATTAACATTTCGGGTAGGGTTGGGTTCATTTTTTAGAACCGGAACTGAATCGGTTCGATTTCAGGTTCGTGGACAAAACCTTCGAGTTGACTCGAGCCAAATAAAAATATATAAATTATATTAAGAATCCTTTCGTATAAATGGGTTTGCTAGAGTGGTACTTACACAAATCTAAAAACACTAATGTCTCACTTGGACGCTTAACAAATACATGTTTTATTTTATTTTATTATTTTATATGCAATATTTTTAAATTAATCATTTTCAATCTTCATAAATTATACATATAATTTTAAAACATATTCTAGTATTATTTTTTATGCAATATTTTTAAACTAATCATTTTCAATTTTCATAAATTATATATTATTATATCATAATTTATATATTTTTATTTTTTATGCAATATTTTTAAACTAATCATTTTCAATCATTATAAATTATATATATAATTTTAAAACATATTCGAGTATTTATTGAGTATTATTATATCACAATTTATATACATATTTCAATTAAAATATTTTTATATATTTTTTTATTTTTGTTATATACAATATTTTTAAAACTAATCATTTTTATTGTTTATTTATTTTATAACTCTTCTCAAGGATGTTGATATTGACTTATGTTTTATTGATTTTTTTTTTTTTAATAATTATAGATTGATTTCTGTTTGTTTGTGAATTTTTAATATATTTGATTTAAGTTTATTTCCCAACAATTATAAATGGTGGATAAATAAAACTTTTTAAAAAAAATTTGACAACCCAACCCGGACCCAACCCAAAAATAGACGGTTGGGTTAGGTTGGAGTGTGAAACGTTTCGGGTTGAGTTGTGAAAAGTTTCGAGTTGGGTTGGGTTACCAATCCAACCAACCAAAAGTTTTGGGTTGTGTCAAAAAAATCTCTCAACTCATCCCAACTCAGGCCATGTACACTCCTATGTATAACTTATTTTCAAGCAGCATCTTGATTCCGGGAAAATCAAAAGCTATCTAAAATCTTACCATGAGATAACATCAAGATTACTTACGGGTTCACATTCATAATTAAGAATTTGAATGGTCATATCCACACAATAAATATGTATCATTAGAACTTTAAATTGCATGAATTATGAGATATATATGAGAATTTGTTTGGTGTTCCACTATTATCTCAACATGCTCTATCTTCCACCACATATCCCATTTCTAATCTCAATATAAATACTCCCAAACCAAACCCAAAATCTCACAACCAACACAAGCCACATTGTAAAACCATGGCCTCCCCAAACATTCTCAAACCCATTTGCTTGTTGGGAATAGCCCTAACCCTAACTACCATAACTCCCACCATGGCCAATAGCACCCCCAAGGACTTCGTCGACGCCCACAATGCCATCCGTGCGGAGGTTGGCGTCGAGCCCCTCAAATGGAACGAAACATTGGCTACTTATGCTCAGAAGTACGCCGAATCGAAGATCACCACTTGCGAAATGGAGCACTCCGGAGGACCCTATGGCGAAAACCTAGCGGTGGGATATGAAGGAATAACGGCAGAGACAGCAGTGAAGCTCTGGGCCGACGAGAAGAAACATTACAACCACGCTTCCAATTCGTGTGGAAACGACCCTACCCACTGCGTCCATTATAGACAGTTGGTTTGGAAGAATACCACATCTATTGGGTGCGCCCAAGTGACGTGCCAAAACAATTGGATTTTTGTCATATGCTGTTATTACCCTTCGGCCGACAGTATTAAGCAACGTCCATACTAATTTTTTTTTAACGGATACGAAGTTTATAAGAAGAAGAATTAATAAATGGTTGATTTTTTTTTTTATTTTTAATTTTGATATTTTATAATGTAGGAACAAGCTGGCTATGGAGTCATCTTTTGTATGTAACACAAACTTTCTTCAATAATTTTTGGAATTTTCTATTTATATTGATAAAGATCAAAGATTGATGTTTCATTTTTAATGTTGTAAATCAATCTTTTTATGGTAAGATCTATTATTGCTCGGCCCATCCTTGGATTGGGGCAACACAACAATGAGTAGTTCTCTCTAGGACTCGAGGACTTAATCAATGAACAACCATCAATTCAAATCCTGAATTTTCGAATTCAATTCAGTGGGATCTTTCATTCACATTTTTTTCCATCAAGAACGTTTTATAAAACTCTTAGACTCCCGAATTTGGAGTATCTTACTTTCAAGCAATTCACAGGGTTCAACAAGCAATCGATATTTCACGATCAAGGGTGTAGTACTATTTGTAGTAGCGGTCCTTATATATCGTATTAACAATCGAAAGAAAAAATCTCTATTTGACAGGGTTTCTTCCTATACCTATGAATTTCATTGGACTAGAAATGATACATTGAAAGAATCTTTTGGCTCTTCCAATATCAATAGGTTGATTGTTTCGCTCTTGTATCTTCCTAAAGGAAAAAAGATGCCTGAAATCAAGCTTTGGGTGATATGCCTTGCCTATTCACTTGGACAATGCTCTGAACTCGCTTAGTGGGCCTACAGTCACACATGTGAGCCATGTGTGGGAAAGTACCATGCATCCACCCCCGCCCGGACAAGGCAAGGGCCTAAGGCCATGGAAAGGAATGGAAGACAGACTCCTCTCTCGGTTTCTTTCTTTTGACATTTGTGCTCATGTATGTGTAAGGCCATGGAAAGGAATGGAAGCCAGACCCTCCCTCGGTTTTTTTCTTTTGACATTTGTGCTCATGCATATATCTTAATGTATGATTATATGCTTAACGCTACCCATATTTTCAGGTAAGGGCAAGGCCCCCATGTACGGCTGACGGTGGATGTTGTGAAGGCCATGGAAGTCTTAAGGAGAGTTTGTAGTGTTGTAGGCGTCTTGTTGGATTCTCTCGGTTATTAGTTATTGCAATTGTTTCTCTAGTTATCTGTTGATTATTTCTAGGTTAGACTGTCGTTATTGTTTCCCTCCAGGTATGAATTGCTTATAATAATGAACGTATTGTTGTTATTGAGACTGTCTTACGTAAACTCTCGCACTTTCGTTATATGAGTACAAGGTAACGTCGCTAATTAGGATAGAGAAAATTAGGGGCGTTACAACATTACAATAAAGAGTTGTACTGGTTTCATACCTTAGTCGTGTTATCCTCCTCTAAAATGGCTGAAAAACATGTTTTCTCGCAAGAGCAAACCTATACATTTCCAAGAAAGCTTGTGTCAAGAAAGGTAAGATCTAAAGAAAATGGAAAAGAATGATAAATTGATCAAGAAATCAGGAAATTGATGATCGTAGATTGCGCAGGTGACACACATCAAGCAAGCTATGGTGAATGCATTGGGCAACAACTAGGTCACGTGTCAATCGTTGGGTGGTGTTGTACGGTTGGCCAAGGTGCTGACATGTGTCAAGAAGAGGGTGGAGCAACGCATATTTAACGACGAGATGTGTCTTGTAGTTCAACTCGACCTATATACCTATTCGACCCACACATGATTCGATTCAGCACCAGTGACACAAATTGTCCATCTTACTCAACCATTGACCTACGTCCACCAGAGTACGAGAATAATTAGAGAAACTTCATGCATGCAAGGGATTGAAAGAAGTCGTTGGGAGTCAAATGCACAAATCAGAGGCTACCACGTGTCACAATGTGCGCGTTTATTTCTAGGTTTTCTCTTAAGTACACAAACATGAACATTTAATGCAGAAAAATCTCAATTGAAACTTTATAATAAAATTAACCTTAATCTTGCCTGCTTCATTTTAATACTCTTAAATAAATTAATACATATGAAAATAAAACGAAAAGAAATACAAAATTAAATGCCCTATATTAACATGCAAAATAGAAATGCAATTAACTTATACTAATCTATAGTCTATTAAAATTTAAATATGAAACTATCTTAAGCATGTGTCATAGTATCGTAGATACGATGCCACCGTCAACCGTATAGAAGAGCCTTGTTTTTACGTGAAAAGTAGAGTAGCACATGGCTTGAGTATTTTTAGAAATACTCAGTAATTGACCTCTATCAAGGTTAAATGCAAACACAAACAAGTTACATGCATGAAATCCAAGCCACATGAAAAAAGAGAGAGAATGAGAAACACAGAGAAAACTAAATAGAGAGAGAGGAATCTGAAACAACTCTAGCGAGTCCAACTAGAGAAAACTCGACACCCACATGACCACAAACAATCCTCAAACCTCCACACGCTCCAGACGGAGAGAGAGAGAGACCTATCGCAAATCGCCAGCACGGTCCTTGCTCACACACTGTCACGTGTCCCCCCCTCCCTCCTCCCTCTCCCCTCGAGGTTCAGTCTCCTCGCTGGCACACAAATCGTCTAGGCCCTAATACCATTTATAACAGTTTAAGCCTACAGTTGCTAGATATTGCCCTCTTTAGGTTTTCTTTATTCGGTTTCCCCTCAAAATTTTTAAACTTATAAAGAATGTCTGGTTCTCTCTCCCAACCGATGTGAGTTCTTAGATTGTTAGAAAATGATATTCTTTTTGGATATAAAAAGGGTTTTATGGGAGGGAAAAAAATATTTTGACAAGAAATGCTTACAAAGACACCATCAATCCATCACTTCACACCCTTCTAATACTATCACATGTCTATAACTAGACATCTTTATCCATCGAGAAATTTAAGATTGAGTTGGACAAAACAACGTAAACACACACAATTATTTGGTTTCTTTTAAGCCCCAAAGAGACAAATTACTTAATATGGCCGTTGAGAAGAAATGTTGCCTCGAGGGCTGTAGCTGCAAATCACAAAAGTACCACCATTGGTGCACTTAACTCTAGCACATCCCAACTTCTTTGAACGTCTCCAAACCACCTGAGTGTAGGCTAGACAACTCTGATCACCAACACATTTATTGGACCTGTAATTGTAGAATCGCTTCTTGCTAACCCATAGCTTCACTGCCCCGGCGCCTGTGAGGCTACGATCGCTGCTCCATGCAAGGTTCTCGTCATACGGGCCACCCGAGAGCACTAGCTTACAGTCACGCATGCGTTTATTAGCATAGCTTTGAGCATAGGCTGCTAGTTTTCGGTCCCAAAACAGTGGTCCAACGCCAACCATTTTGCGAGCTGCATTGTGGGCATTGAGATAGTCCTTAGCTGAGTTTTGAGCAAGAGATGGCTTAACTAAAAACAATCCCGAAACGCAAATGAGAGCGAAGGAAATCTTGAATACATCCATTTTGATTTGTTTTGCAAAATGTGATGAATGGTTTGGTGATGGAAATGGCTTAGAGAAATGGTGCATTTATATAACGTCTCGACATTGTGATGATCGTTATTACATATCAAATATTTTGAATCGAATATTAGACGTGTATTCAATAATCAATTAAAAAATAAAAAGAAATTAGAGACATTGACTTTGATAATGTTGATTTCAATAAGTGTCATGTGTACAATAATTTAATCAATATAAAAATAATAATAAATAAATAAATCTTAAAATGAAGCCAATGATTGAGAAAATTCTTATTTATGTAATCATGTGTTCTTTAAAAAATGATCTCATCTGTCCTCATAGTATCAATTTTATATTCTCATTTTATAAATTTATTTTTTGCTATTATTTGTTTGAGATGATCTCTAAACAAAAATATCTTATTTATAATTGTTTAATATATATTTTAGGAGTATACGGGTTGAGTTAAAGAACTCTTTTGAACCAAATTAAAGTCTAGGATTGGTTTGATTGAAGATCCGAGCAACTTGAGCAGAGTTCACAACTCAATCCAACATGTTTTTTTACCAAATCAAAATCTAGGGTTGGTTGGGTTGGAGACCCGAACGACCTGAATAGAGTTCGCAACTCGACTCAATCCAACGCTTTATTTTTTTAGCTGAGTTGGGTTGTTGGATTTTTGTAAGTTATTTAATTCTGCTTATCTAGAATACATGTTATATTAATAACGAAAATCTGATAAAGTTCAAATATCAAATATTAGTAAGGCCCAACGCATCACTAACATCAATTATAAACGTAAAATATTCTAAATGTTTGTAATCATTTAAAAGTATGATAGAGTTGGACTCGATTACAACCCTATTTTTTAGTTGGTCGGGTTGACCCGACAAAAAGAAAAAATCAACTCATGAGCTAATCCAAAATTTTAGTTTTTCAAGAATTCAACTCAATCTGAACCGAAAAGAGTCTAATCCAACTCAACTTATATGGTTTAGATTGAATAATCTAAATGGGTCGAAGTGGACGGCATGAACCAAAACCGCTCAATCTTATATTCTTATATATATTAAAAATAAATAAAAAAATGCTTCATGCTTGAAAATTTTGCCATACAAATAATTTGGTTGCCCAAAATTATATGTATATATTAATTACCAAAACTCCCTACCACTTGTACGCACGTCTAATTTTAACTGAGATTTGTTTTTTTTTTAATTAATTTCTTTAATAACTCATATTTAAATTCATTTTAGGTATCTTATAACGAGTCAGTAACTACTCTAAATTTTCTACTTAACTTAAGGTCGTATATATATCATAAACATTGAATGCGAAAATATTTCATTTAAACCTTCATAAAACATAATCTTCATCTTAAAACATAGACATGATTTATGTGTTTTGAAAATACCTTTAATATAGACTAAATAAAATAAATAAACGTTTAAATTAAAAACATCCTATTCTAGAATAAATGGGACTACTCTTATGTCATGGTCTCGAATTAGGATGCAATTGTTAGTTGTACAAGAATGCCTTACCTTTACCTGAAACACAAGTAGCATGTGGCTTGAGTATTTAAAGATATACTCGTTAAGTGACCCCACTATTGGAGTTAAATGCAAACATATACAATTTCATGAATGGGACCTATCATAACAATTTGTTTTCCTACGGGTAGGCTATCTGATAAACAGCTTGGATAGGATATGTAATTAATTTCATACACACGGCCCACAGTGCAAGTATGGACCCACTAGTCGGTTCGCATATCTCTTGAGCTCCTTTTCTTATCGAGCAAACATTCTCTAGTAGCTCTCGATGCAGAACACTTGTTAGAAGTAGCGACCATCATGGCAACATTATGTCAAACATAATGATTGTTCTCCTGCCTAGTAGTGTATGTGTCCGAACCATCGTGAAGGAATAGGGGTATCCCCCAATGCATGAGCTCACAATAATACAACCCATTAGCGTTTCGTATATATCTTTTCTCATATCGTTTATCATATCTTTCATGCATATGTTAAGATTGTATTTCATGTTAGTTTGTCATTTTGCATGTCAATCATATCATATCATTCAAATTCTATAAGTATGTCATTATCATAATGTTCCATGTTTCCAGACATAACAGTTTTTATCATACACATACCATAATATGTCGCATCACAATATATCATATCATCACCATGTCAATTTATCACATATCTCATACCATAACATATTTCATATCATTTTCATATCATAACATAACATAACATAGGTCTAACATTTGTCTTAGTAAAAATAAATAAATATCCTTAGTACATGCTCCCGTAATTTATTTATTTATTTATTTATTATACGGAGCTCTTGAAATGAGAGTTGTTTCTAGTTCGAACTCAATCTCGAAATCCTAATTTGAGAGATCCTTAGGGAATATGTCTACAAATTCTTTCTCTACGTCCAGTTTCTAAGATATGAGCTAATATACCTCAAGCACCTTGGCAGAACAAGTTGCCCTTAATGTCAAGATCACCTTGGGAACTGCTTCTATCCTATACCCCTCGAATTTGAAGCTTGGCTGATCTGCGGTTTGAACGCCACTTCTTTGTTAAAGCAATTAATGAAAGCAGATTCTACGCTAATTATTTCATTCCTAAGAGAACGTCAAATTTGTCATTACCATATGGCTTGACATTGACACTTGATTTTTCACCTCTTAAAGGCTTCCATGCGGAGATAACCCTAAATAACATGTAACCTAGTGGCTCTAATTCTATTTGTGTGTGTATTATAATTGACCGACATAAAAGGAGTATACAAGGATAGACGAAGTATCTGTGGATGCAGTGTTAAAGGTCGTAGCGTCCTATCGAGTGGTAGCATTAATTCGACCCTGTTGTTAAACTCACTTCTACATCAAGCCTTGATCACTACTAGTAGGCTAACTGGTTCAAGGTGTCCGTCTTACTCTAGGAACAACACGATCCCCGGTGATGCTGTCCATAGCTAGTACACAATGTTCTCTTGCATGGGCAATCTTGCAAATGCTTTGCTCGTGTTTGTCCAAGCCCACCTTGATATTGTGATGTCTTGGTTGGGGTTTTGGGGTCGACTCTATCTTCTTTTTCTTTCCTTTGATCATGTTCGAACGCCGCTACTAGTCAAAGTGTTGTGGCATAGCCAAGCGGGAGATGAGCATACACAACTCCTCCAACCATAGGTCTTAAGCCCATACTGAACCATTACATCTTCTTTTCCTATGTGTTAATCAGGACATGGGAAAATTAAGACATTCTAGTTAGCTTAGGATGGTATTCTTCCATTCCATTTTTAAAAATTCTGTCTCTTTTTGAATCGCAATACTTATTTTTAAATATTTCTTCAGAAACATCTCCTTGAACTTAGCATATATGATCGAAAGGAATGAACTTTTCATCTAAATCGTTTTGATTTTATTAAGAATTAAAAGAAAACAATAAATATAAAAGCAAAAACCCTACGTAAAAATAGTAAATTGCAAACCTTTTTGAAATATTTCAACAAAATAGAAGTTCTTCGAGGTTCCACCAGATTTTTCTAGATATGATTGGAACACAAGATCAAAACTTATGGGAGCGTCTTAAAATCTAATATATTATGAAGATGGTTATAAAATATCCGGTATATATAATATATCACTCTATTTATATTAAAAATATTTAATATATTAAATATTAATTTGAATCTTTCAAATTTTTTCATTAAATTAAACATTTTAGTGTTACTATTAATTAGCCAGAAGACCTTATGAACCTACGGATCATAAGCTCTAATGATAGAAAATTAATTAATTAAACTATTTAATTAATCGATTTCCACTATTTTACTAGGTCACTTGACAATAGACTTAGAGTTGCACTCTTATGCACGGTAAGACAAGTTATGTCAATTGATATAATCATTACAAACAAATCAATCTTTTACGAGTTCTTCATAATTATCGATGGTATGCATGTTGAATTGACTATAAGAGTAATTCTCACCCAGGCAAATCATAGGACAAGCCCTCACATGTAGGGTTCAAAACTAACTCAAGATTAAAATGGAGTTGCAGATGACCATTATGTGAAATATAATCTTATCCAGTAACGGATTTATAGAGAGTGATTAAATATTTCTTTGTCTAGTCTTATACAAACTCATTATACAGAATACACTCACTCACATATCTCCACATGAACGATTTGGATCAAATCATTTGTAACAACTACAAAATTGGTTGTATCAATAGTGTTACCAATATAAAACATCCAACCTTATCCATGTACTATAGACCATTTAAGTTATTACTTGAACGTGATCCTCTTGTATGTGAACCACATCATTCATGATCACATAATAGTCTTGAATTTTCATACCATTGATAATATTAAATTTAAATAAAAATAATAAAAATTATTATTAAAAATTAAATAATTAATTACAAGAGATTTTAGGACATAAATCTTAACATGATTAGGTCTATGTTTGCAGCTCGAGTCCTCGTGGAAGACTGCCACCACAATTGAAAATCATTTCATAGATGAAATGTGCCATAACTCAGCTCATGGAGTTGAACAGAACATCACATCATTCCACAATCGAGGCGTATGCATACTGATGGAGTTGAATGGTGCATCGAGGAGCTCGACCGCACACCGAAGAGCTGGATCGTGCACCTGCCTTCTCCGTCCAAACTCCAAATTTTTTGGGGAAAAACATTCAAAATATTCCCTTTTAATTATTGCAACAAGTGCTTAGTGTTTTGATACAGATCAAACTCTTAAATCTTAATGTACGATCTTTTTCTTTCGTAAGAACCATTAGAATGCACCAAATAGGCATCTTACTTTCCTCGAGTTGGCTTACGTTTGAGCATAATAAGGTATTCCATACAGCTCGGAAAGGCCAAAAAAAACAAGAAAATACATTGTTTTTCTCCCAAGTTATAAGCTAAATGGTGCTTTGAATGAGGAAGGAGCTCTAAAGTGAGTATTCGTAAATGGGTGGTAAAGTGAGTATAAGTAACCATTTAAAGAGAAAAAAAATGACATCTCCTTTGGGCGTTGACACTTTGCGGTCACCGTCGGGTAAGCCATGGAAAGTGTAATATAATATATATTATGCTCAATATAATTTGCATCTTTGATGGAACTCCCACGTGCTTTACCTAAATGAGGAAGGAAGCCATGGATTACCTTTATAAAAAGTAGAGCACTTTAGTTTATTTTAGCAATAAGCCTTGCAAAAGTAGCAAATTCGTTCATGGGTTATGATAAATTTAACATCTCGGCACCACCGTAATAATTCAACTTTTTTAAATCTAGATCAACGAGTGTATGTCATTGTCAATTAAATATTCAAAAGAGAAAATAAATGACCATATAAACATAAATAATCGAGACAGAACATTCAAAAGTTTACTCGAGATCTCGTTATAAAGTTGATAAACTTCTGAGTAGATTAAAAAAAAAAAAATCAATAGCGTTTATCGACCCAGACTTCATAGTACAACTAACGATTGAATTCGTTACACGTCCTGTATATCTTTTCCCTTAGTTGGAAAAAAAATGTTTGAAACGGTTTAGCATTAAAGATGTCTAACAAGTAACACACTTGCTTAGAGTTAGATATGCATAAACATAAATGCTACACGTGGTCGGATTTGTGGCTACCAATTAGCTCCATTGTCATATTTTTGATGCTCAAATCATTCAAGTAAGTTTTCGGTAGCTATTGCATGAGAGGTTATTAGACCTCGTTATGTGAGCATTAGGCTAGGCTCTTTGAGAATATTTCAAAGTATTCATTCGTCTCTTGGTTGATAGCATATAATAGGTTGTTCATTGGAGATCGACTTAAAAATTGGATGGCTCTATACTAACTAATTGCTTACGTTATTTATCGTATGTGAAATCTCGTTTTATTTATTATTTGAATGTTACTTTAGTGGAGTTATTTTGAGTAGTATACTTTCAGGAGGTTCTCATCGATTTCTAGATGTTAACAGACTTTTCATGTGAGTAGGAGCTGATGTTGTTGACATCTTGTTTAGAGTCTCGCTTGATATGCTTCCATTCATCATATTTCGAACGAACATAACCATAATCGGTGTAGTCAGGATCAACTTAGTGATGGTATTGTTGAGGATTGTTGGGAAGAAGTCCCACATTGACTACTTCAGGAGTTGATCATGGGTTTATAAGGAATAGATCTCCATTGGTACGAGGATTTTTGGGAAGTCCAAAGCAAATCCTCGAGAGGTTATGCTCAAAGTGGACAATATCATACCATTATAACTTATTAAGTGTCGTCGAACAAAGAGTGTACTTTGTTTAAGAGCTCCAAAGAAAGCAGTCGAGCCTATTACAAAATCAATTGAGCATAGCTTAATAAGTAAGATATTTATTATCGAACTAAAAAAATATAATCGGATTTAAAGTATTTTTTTTCTTATATTTGATATTATCCATAAACAATTAAGGTTCAATAAAATATTTAATTTAATTAATATTTTTTTATAATAAGATAGCCGTACATCTCGGTTAGGTTAATTGCGTATATGATATGCTTTGAATAATCTCATACTTCATAGAATGCTCCAAATTTTCATAAGCCTATAAATAATAGCCATGGCCATCCCATATTCTCCACACAATTCTTCTTACCAATTCCTAACTCCAAACCCAAAATGGATCTTTTCAAGCTCTCCCTCTCCCTCTTTTGTGTCGCGAGCGTAGCCATGCTTCCCTCCACTCTCGCTCAAGACACGCCTCAAGACTTCGTGAACGCCCACAATGCTGCTCGTGCCCTAGTTGGTGTCGGACCTGTGCAATGGGACGCAACCGTGGCAAGCTATGCTCAACAATATGCCAACCTACGCATCAACGATTGTCAGCTAATACACTCTGGTGGCCCTTATGGAGAGAATATTGCATGGGGTAGCTCGAACTTATCCGGCACTGCTGCAGTTCAACTATGGGTGGCCGAGAAACAATATTACAATTATAACACGAATAGTTGTGCAGCTGGGAAGGTGTGTGGCCATTACACCCAAGTGGTGTGGAGAAATTCAGTGAGAATTGGATGTGCTAAAGTGATATGCGCGAATAATGCTGGTACATTCATCACTTGCAACTATGACCCAAGAGGTAATATCATCGGACAAATGCCATATTGAGAAAGGCCTTATCTAAAATAAGAGTAATGAAAATGAGTATTAAGAGAGCATTGTTAATGAGTTGCTAAATAAAAATAATCACGAGTGACCTACTTGTTATGTCTTCCGAAAGTTTGCATAGCAATGCTACCATTATTATGAAATCGTGCACTTACAAGCATATACCAGTTCTTTCTTCTTAATCTTTTAACGTTCTTGGCAGAGTTTATATATTTGCATTATGAACTACTTGACAATCCAGCCATATTCTGTGAGATCTCACATCGGTTAGAGAAGAGAACGAACCAGTTTTATAAGGGTGTGGAAACCTCTCCCTAGCAAACATGTTTTAAAAGATTTGAGAGTAAGCCCAAAGAGAACAATAGTGGGCTTGAACTGTTATGGAAACCTCTCCCCATCAGACACGTTTTAAAAACATTGAAGGGAAGTTCACAAGGGAAATCCAAAGAGGATAGAAAGCCCGAAAGGGAAAGCCCAAAGAGAACAATATCTACTAGCGGTGAGCTTAGGTTGTTATAGAAACCTCTCCATAACAGACACGTTTTAAAACATTGAGAAAAATTTGGAAAAGGAAAATTAAATAGGACAATTTCTGCTAGCTGAAGGCATTATTAATAACATGAAATATTAAAGTATAAAGAGTAGAAGGGTTATTGGGATAGTAGAAGATGTAAGAACTCGTATATCAAAGCATTATATGTTTATTATAAGCAATGTTTTAATAATACAAAAATGGTTGTATCGATGAAATACTCTATTAAATAAGTGATAAGTTAACGATATACTTTGTATTAGGCATATGAGTGACCCTATACCTTATCAATTAGTGATATATATTTACCAATTATTTGTAAAATTCAAAAAAGTTGCCGTAGATCACTCCATGTATGTTTATACGATATGATGACTAGTAAAGGGACGTTAATTAACCTTTAATAGTGAACTTGTATCAATTGGCAAAGGTCTATATTTATATTAAATGATGAGTTGGCATAGACCCTGGCAGAGACCCATCTGATATTTTAGTAGCTGACAACGGATACACGAGGTTATTCCCCTTATAATTTATACAATGTATAGACTATTAAAGGGTCTTCAATTAGTGTTTGATACTGAATTTGTCTCGATTCACAAATACCCACATTTATATATGATGACGAAAAAATAGATAAGAGAGTCATGCCCTAAATGTTTATGATATATAGTGTCATGTAGGAATTATTTGAGGATCTCCAACTATCTCCTTTAACATGAACTTGTCTTGTTTGACACGTTTGACAATGATTCACATGAGTATCGAAGTAGTTAACGGGTAACATATAAGAACTCTACCATTAGATCGATTGAGCTAATAGAAACTAGTTGCTAGTCTCTAAAAGATTCAACCAAGTGAAAATGAGCAAAAACATAAAGAATAATGTTGCGTATATATCTCATAACACTTTGTTAGGAGGATCTTAAGAGGAAGATCATGAATTTATAAGTAATAAATATTATTTTTATTGGTACGAGACATTTTGAAAAAACTAAAAGTAAAGACATGAGAGCTTAGGCTCAAAACGAATAATATCATACTACTGTGAAGGTTCGTGACTTCTAATCTATTTGACAACAAACGCACACAATAAAAGTTGTTATCTTTGTATTAGCTGCAAATGTACACTCAACGAAAGCGTGTAATGAAGTGTTGGAGTCCTGCATTGGCTATTAAAGAGAAGATCCTTGGTACGTAGGAGACACTATCTTCATTGGTAGGAATAAAAATCAAAAGCAAAACCATGAGAGTTTATACTCAAAATAGACAATATTATATCACTATATGAAGATTAGTTGTCCAACAAAAGGTATCGGAATCATGCCTTAATTTAACCATGTCAGGTAAAGCTCCATTGGACTTAGCAATGTGCTCTAGAGAAGAAGAGTTGGTTAGAACAGTGCTAGACAGATAAACGATTGTTTAAAGGGAGGCTCAATGGTGCTCAATGGTACTCAATGGTATATTTTGTTCGAGGGGAGATCTCGAGTATACAAATAAGGGATATTATCTTCATTGATAGAAGACTTTCCAGAAAAAAAACAAAAATCATGGGAGCTCATACTCAAAGTATCTAAAATTGTTGAGTAGAAATACCAAAAATAAGACTTCTTTTTCATGGATTTTCTACACACTTTAACTCTAATTGTCTTTCCATTCATTTTCAAAACTTCGACGACGATCCCTTTGTTGGCTTTTTCACCTTAATCTCAAATTAATTAATTAATTGATATTTTGATAATAACAAACCTATCTTTAATTATTAACAATTCTCAGGATTTTGTCCACAGTGTAAGGTTGGGAATAATGATTTCAACTCTTTTTTTGGTTCACTCAAATTAGAGATAAAACAAAGAAGTTCCAGTCAAAACGAGTACCCGACGTGATGATGTGGTGGCAAAATTGACATCATGGACCAATCGAATTCAAAACAAAATACCTGACGTGATGATGTAGTAACAAAGTTGACATCATAAGCAAAATTGACATCATAGACCAATCGAAGTATGACATTTATAAATTTGGTACACTAACAATAGTGGAGTTTTCAGTTACATTTATAAAAGTTTCCATTACTTTTAAATTAAACCAAAACTATTTGAATTATAAAATAATTTCAATTATATTTATAAAACTTTTCAGTTAAAAGGAAAAGAAATTATAATGATGGTTGTTACTTTTAACTAGTTTTGAGAAAAAAAAAATTATTTGAATTATAAAATCATTTCAATTATACTTATAATTCAATTTGATTTATAAAACTTTTCAATTATTTTTAAAATGTAAATTATCATTAACATTTTTTTTATTATATTATTACCTTTAAAATATATATATATATATATATTTATTTATTTAAATGAAACATGTGGTCTATCATGTGGTCCATGTTTGTGTTCGGATTAGTATCAATTCCTTTATTTAAATTGAACATCTCTTCATATTTGTTAGAACACAACACAACACACAACATTTGTTTACTGATCAAACTTTTTTTTTAAAAGCTTCCATTGTTGCTCACTCCTTCCAATTCTATTTCTTTTTTTATCTTATTCATTTATTGTATTGTGAGAAAATTCTAAATTTATTAGAGTTGTGGTGTGTATCTATTAGAGTTGTGGTGTGTTTCTATAAGGTTTAAGACAAGTGTACCGGTTTGATCCTGAGCCGTGGAAAGGATTAAGTTTTCTCTTAAACTCGTAAAAAGAGCGGTGTACTGATTTGATCCTGAGTTGTGAAAAGGATGAATTTTCTCTTACACTCGTAAAATGAGTGGTGTAGCAGTTGGGCTCTGATCCGAGAAAAGGTTTGATCCTGAGCCGTGAGAAGGATTGAGTTTTCTCTTGTGAAAGGAGCTGTGTAACGATTGGGCTCTGATTCGAGAAAAGGTTTGATCTTGAGCCGTGAAAAGGATTGAGTTTTCTATTGCACTCGTAAAAAAGGAGCAGTGTAGCAGTTGGGCTCTGATCCGAAGAAAGAGTCAAAAAGTTTTATTCAAATTCTCAAGAAACGCTTGGGGAGTGGAGTAGGTCAAGTTTGACCGAACCACTATAAAACTACAACTTGAACTACTCCACTATAAAACTATTGTGTTATATTTTCTATAAAATTGAGGTGTTATATTTTTTAACTTTTTTCTTATTTAAATTCTAAATTATTGTTATTAAAAAAATAATAATAATAATTACATGTTGAAACCCTATTCACCCCTTACTGTTGTGAATCCAACACCCTTCTCGAACCAAACAAACATGAATTTTTTGAATCAGCTCAATTATTGCAATTATTTTTGGAAAATTCGTATATCTTTTATGCCTATTCTACAAATAAAAAAGAAAAAAAAAAAAAATCATTAGTCCAACAATGGTCAGCAAAATTATTATTATTATTTTTTATTTTGTTGAAATAATTAAGTAATATAAGATGTAAGTAGTAGCGCCTATTATTTTCATCGAATTCAACCTTAGATCATCAAAGAGACAACAAGAGGCCAATGGTAAGGAACAATATGCCATAGGAAGGAAACATAAACACTCGCCAGAAACAAAGAAGAATAGGATAAGATAAAAACACCCCGAGGAAGCACAGCTACCATCTCCAATTCAGGTACAATATTCTCTTTATTTGGTATGGAATAATCTCTTAATTTTGGTACGTGAGGAAGCACAACTATCCCTAATTTAGGTAGAATAACCTCTTAATAAAATTTGACTTCACCTCTGACTAGACATGTTTACGAGAGTGTGAAAACCTTTTCTAACAAACTTGTTTTAAAGTCTTTTTTGAGGGAAAACTCGAAAAGAAAAAGCCCAAAGAGGACAAAAGAAAAAGCCCAAAAAGGACAATATCTGCTTGCGGTGGATCTCGGTCATTACAAATGGTATTAGAGCCAAACACCAGAATGTGCCAGCCTTCTCGCCGTAGGCAATGTGCCAGCCTTCTTGCCGTTTCCCAATAGGAGTAGACACGAGGCAATGTGCTAGTAAGGATGTCGTTCTCCAAAGGGAATAGACACGAGGCAATGTGCCAATAAAGACGTTGGCCCCAAAAGAGGTGGATTTGGAAGAAAGGAACCAATGCCTCCAACAAGTTGGAGACGAGAACAAAACTCGCCTATACACCCTTTCCTTCATAAAAAGGTGTGAAAACCTTCACCTTGCAGATGCATTTTAAAACAACACGGAGGGAAGCCCAAAAGAACCAGGTGGATCACTCAAAACATACCCATCAAAATTTCCATAAAGAATCGGAACGAACAAGATCATCCTTCACAAATCACAACAAATATGCGAACTTAAGAAAATTTCCATCAAATAGAAACACTATGGATTTATCAACAATGCTTAGTGTGCCTACCAACAACACTCAAGTCCCCTCCCATAGACTGCACAAAAACAACGAAAACAAGAAGAAAACAACACAACACACACACAACACAAACTCAAGCACTAACCCATTAGAAGAATTGGGTTCCCCCTCTCCTCACCTCAGTACTCCTGATCGTCGTCATCACCTTCAGCAGACTCAGCCCCCACTTCCTCATAATCCTTCTCAAGGGCTGCAAGATCCTCACGAGCTTCAGAGAACTCTCCCTCCTCCATGCCCTCCCCAACATACCAATGCAC